GTTGGATAAGTTTAGGAAGCGCAGTCCGAGAAGTGTCGGCAGCTCTTTAGGGATTTCGCCAGAGAAATGATTATTTGATAGATCTATAGATGTCACGAGCCAGAGAATGGTTGTGTAATCAACCATTGACCCTTTTGTTGTTACTACGATGCTCTCGCTATTAGAATAATTACCTTCATTAAATGACCGTGTATGTATCTCAACCATGGCGCTGAAATTTGCTAGAGATGATGGTAGACTACCGGTTAGATTGTTGGAAGAAAGATCCAATACCTGAAGAGAAGTGAGATCCACTATGTTCTCAGGGATAGTACCGTATAATAAGTTTGACCTCAGACTAAGAAACTTTAATGATGAGAGATATCTTCCTATCAATGTCGGAATTTTATCAAATAATTTATTTTCACCTAAGTCAAGGGTAAGTAATTGGCCACAATGTTTCAAAAACGAAGGAATCGTTCCAGACAGGTTGTTGTTATTTAAATGTAAAGATATCAGAAGGCGTGGGAATGAGTTACGATAGTCTGGAACTTCTCCAATTAAGTGATTATTGGAGAGGAGAAGGATTTCAAGTAAATGCATATTGCAAAAGAAGGGAGGCAGACTATCATTGATATGATTATGAGACAATGATAATAAAATGAGGTTTGTAGCTTCCGTAAAGTCTAATGAAGGTAATGAACCCATCAAATGATTAGATCTCAAGTTAAGTTCTTTCATGTCTTTTGAGAAATCTAAAAACCAAACAGGAAGGCTACCTGAGACCCCAACTCCAGATAGATAAAGCCCTTGCAATCGCTGTTGAGTCTGAATCCAATCAGGAAATTTTGCTCCTATATGACAAAAGCTCATATCGATAGTGAAAGCACTAAAAGGGGGGCGCCAATCATTTGGTAGCATCACATTCAAGGAGTTGAAAGCTATTCTGAATCCATATAAGTTTGTGAGATTAGAAAAATGTGCTTCGGTGATGTTACCTACTAGAGAGTTTGAGGAGAGGTATAGATCTCGTAATTGAGATATTCGACCCATACTTAAAGGAATAGTACCGTATAAATGATTGCGCTGTATATATAAGGATAGTAAAGATGTCCATTATGTGCAGGCAGATAAACCATCAAATAGATTGGTTAGCTCCCCACCAATATTATTCTGAGACAAATCTATCTTGGTCAAGTTGCACAGACCACCCATTGTTTTTGGTAGCAAACCTGATAAATTATTATTTGATATGTCCAAGCACTTCAAACTATGGAGTCTGCCAATCGTATTAGGTATTTGTCCAGTAAATGAGTTGCCTTTTAAAATCAACTCAAGCAGGTTTTGGAGACCCCCAATGGTTGCTGGTATTTCTCCAGAAATTTGATTGTCATCGAGATATAATAGCTTCATACGGATGAGAGCACCAAAAGTCTCTGGAATACTTCCGACGATATTGTTGTATGATAAATCTAAGATTATCAAGTTGGTGAGGTTGCCGATGCTCTCTGGTATTTTTCCGTTGATGCCAGTATAGGACAAATCTAGGTACTCCAATCGGACAAATTTTCCTACGGTTGGTGGAATTTCTCCACTGATTGAATTGCCCCACAAGTCTAAATGTCGCAAGTTTGTGAGATTCCCCAGAGAAGCTAAGATATGAAGAGTGACAATAGAATTCCATGATAAGTCAAGGTACTCCAGGTCTCTAAGGCTCCCTGGAGGAATATCTCCAGATAATTGATTGAAGCTCAAATCCAAGTGCTTCAGGCCCTTGCTACTGACATTGTTCAGAATTCCAAGAATTGTTCCTTCAAGGGAGTTGTACGACAAATCCAACTCCTTCAGATTACTGAGAGCTCCTAGAGCAACTTGCACCGACTCGATAGTGAGACTCCGACAGCCAGAAAGAAGGAGGTACTCGAGGCTGGTGGCGTTAGAAAGCCATCTTAGCATGGCAGACGGGATGTTGGAATTCCAAGACAAATCCAAAGTAGCGATGGTTGTCAGATTAAAAGGGGGCAAAGGAGATGGAACATATGGCAGGTATACATAAAACAAATGTAGCACTTCAAGTGTGGGGATTGAATTAATTATGTAGAACCAATTGGTTGCCTCGGAGAGGTTGACATAACTCATGTCAAGATATTTCAGAGAAGGAATACGGGAGAGCCAATCAAGACTATCGATGTATAAACTGTGCCATCCCTGAAGGTCGAGATAGTGTAGGTTTGAGAGGTTCCCCAGCTGAGGAGGAATCAGTCCATCGAACATGGCATAAGATAGGTTGAGATATTCCAAGTGGACTAGTGAAGCGATCATTTTAGGCACAGGGGCGTATTGCAAATGCTTCAGTTCTTGCAAAGATGGATTTACCTTGCTCACGCCTATTGTTTCCCCATCGTTAAACATATCCCACAATTCGTATGTGTAGGGTTAGCGGAGGTCGAGCTTGGTGACATGGCCGGTGGTGTGGTCGCAGGCCACACCTCTCCACCCACAGCAGTCTTTGCCGGTCCAAGAAGAAAACCAGTTGTCGGGGTCGTACATATCGGATTTGATGGCGAGGAGAGCTCTCCTCTCGCTTTCCATGCAACTGCTGCCGATTCCCTCCACCTCGACATGATCCTCATCGCCGAAGCCATGGCCGAGACAGCAGGAGACGAGAAGCAGGGCCACGAGCATCATGAGACGTTTCGAGGCAATACGTCCGTCCTGGAAACTGCCGCTACCAGCTGCAGCCATTGATGGAACGCTCGAGAGAGAAGAAATGTGAAGGTGTGAGGTTGCAGAGGATGTCTCTGTGGGTATGTATAGGCACATCACCACCGGAAATCCCCATGACTTGTACGCACATTATCTGTAGAATTGATGCAGTGGCTAATACGCAGTCAAGGTCATGCATACTCGTACTTTAGTGTGGCTAATACGCAGTTAGAAGTCAAAGGAAACTTAATTCTGATGTGAGGGTTCCATCCAGCGTTGATTTACTAGCGTTACAAAGTGTAACACAAACTTACTTGTATCTTTCGATAGAGCAGGCAAATATGATATACATGTTGATTTCATTCTTCTTTTCTATTTTTAAGGTGATTCTAGAGGTTTCTTAAGTGATATATTTCCTATGTTGATTCTGCCATCGAATATAACATGGTACATGTATGAGTATAATGACTTAAAAGCTTATTCAACTCAATTTTAATATAGAAGATAAATACAACATGAAATAGTAATTTCATTGGGTTTTCTATTTTTAGATGATTTTAGATATTTTGTTTTTTTAAATCGAACTTGGATAGATTCACACCGTAAAACTATGTAAAAATCCCTAAAATAAAGAGCTCTTTAGTAAATTCAGAAAAAAGAATACTCTTTGATAAACGCTAATTATGATCTTTTTTTAATAAATTATTTAAAATATATTTTTATATAAAATAAAAAAAGGATATAAATTGTTTATGCTCCCCGACATACAAGTCAAGGAGACTTTCGACGTTGGAAAGTATGGATATTTCTGATGACGTGATGAATGGTTTGATATGGATGGAGTGAAATATTGGAAGAGGACTCTTCCAATGATAGGTCACGATGCTTTGATTTCCATCTTTGTCTTCCATATGGTGTGAGGTCGGAGGGAAATCATCCATACTCATCGAAGGCTGAGACGCAAGTCAAAGTCTTGCATCTTATCGTGTTGCTAAGGTGCAAATTAATGTGAATGAGATACATCTGTCTCTTGGAAACTCTGATGTCATTGAGAGTTATTGATTAACACGTGAGAGTTGGGTGTTTGATGAATGCTGGAGATTTAGATGCCAAGAGCTTAACTACGAAACAACAATCAAGTCATGATAAAGATTAGCGTCAGAGATTTTGTCAACTGGTCAAGAGGAGTCACAGTTGCTTAATTACCGTAGAAGAGTGGTTGGGACTTTAACGTGCCACTTTTCAAGTGTTGATGTCAATTTTGATTCATCTATCAACGTTATAGAATAAATTTGCTTCGAGATCACCTTTGTCACAAAATTAGTATCGAGATGGAAGAATTTTCTGAAAGTTAATCATGGTAAAAAGAATGCTCTTGGTAAAAAGTTAATCATGACTTATTTTCTAAGTAAATTATCTAAAATTCTTTCATATAAAAGAAAAAAAAAAGTAAATGTTGATGTTCCCCGATGAACACGTCAAAAAAAATTTCGGTATTGAAAAGCATGGATATTGAATGATTGGATATGGGATGGAAGAGGTGAATTGCCACGAAAGATCTCACACCTTTAATTTCCACCTTCTATGTGGCGTGAGGTTGGAAAAAGTTGTGTATGAGTGCATAAAGTCTGAACACTCATCCAGGCTTCTATCATATGACCAAGAAAGTCTTATATTTGGCTCGGCGCAAGTCAATTTGAATGAGACACATATGTCTCTCGGAGACTCTGATGCATGCACACTGGTCAACGTGAACGAGAGTTGATTGATTAATACGTGAGACTTGGGTATTTGATGAATAATGAAGATTTAGATGTGAAGAGTTTAATTGTGAAAGAAAAAATCAACTCATCTAATAGTTGAATGATTTATTAATGTTCCAATTTTGTTGACCAATCGATAGGAGTCACATTTGTTCGATTATCATAAATGGAGTTTCAATTTATTCATTAGTAATGTAGTGTGGATATATTTTTTTCTTCGACGATAAGAGTACATGTCATTTCTTAAGTATCGACATCGATTTTGATTATATATTATGTTTAACAATCTCATAGAGCTATCCTCCTTTCAGATAACCTATGTCACAAGTTTAGTATGATGATAAAATAACTCAAGTAAATGATCTTCATCAAAACTAAACCAGAGATATACTAGAATGCGTAATAAATATATACGTTAGATGGTATAGATAGTATGTTACTTAAGGAGTAATACCCTTAGAGCTTATCAACCAACGAATTATAAAACTAAGTCGAGGATATATTCGACAAGAGCTATTCAACTCTTAAAGATAGAGCTTATTAACTAACGAGTCTTCAAGGATTGAGTCTTTTGTAGTTAAAATATATAACTATCTCCATTTAGTAGATAGTTATTTTGTAATGAATATTACAAGAAATAAATTGATTAAATTAATTAGATAAAATAAAATAAATCTAATTCAACTCAAACCCGATTTCAAAGACTCTAAACATCTTTCTACATATATCTTAAAGGACGATCTTATAGATAAAACCTTATAATACACATCTAAGACATGTGTGTTTTGAACAATAAAATCATAACCGTAAAGGATTTTTTTTGTAATGTTGTTCTTAAGTAATTTGACAAGTAATTCATAGATATTTGCTATTCAATTATGTCTTAGGTTACTGGCATTCAATTTTTGATGTCCTCAATTCGAGATGATTTGGTCGGACACTAATCGACCATATTTAGATGTCCGTTAAGAATACTGAAACAATCACCCGTAACATAAAATGTTGATCTGTCAAAAAAAATCATTCAAGAAACATAGAATATCTTTCTTAAGATAATTATATAATCAAATGTCTCGAGCTTTAGCACCCGATGATAGGAATAAGCAGTCTAAACTGTGATAGACATGAATTTGAAAATGTATTTATAAATAATAATTTACTTCTAGAAAAACTTGATGGATAAATTTGTTTGGTTGAACATGGATTTTATTTTTTTCAAAAAATATACTTTTGTAAAAAATGGATATATAAATGGTTAATAATGATTTTTTTAAAGAGTGAGTCTCATAGTAATATGGATTTTGATAATGATCAAAATATACAATCTCATCTCTGAAAAGAAAGATTCGGTACTGGAATAAAACATCAATTTTGGCCAAATACCAAGATCATGTCCACAACAATGGTTACGATTTTATTGTCTAATTGTATCACTAGAGCATAATAACATGGTTGAATTTTCTTTTATTGTAACAACAATAACAGGAGAAAACAATCTCTATGAAACAATGAACTTTGTATATAATCTCAAGAAATATAATTGATTTTTGCAACAAAAAAAAAGGGACCAACAGAGTATGACAGAGACACTTGCAATCAATCTTTTAGTTGTCAGATATGTATCGATTGATAAACGAAGGCCAGACGATGGCAAAATGATGATAGATGGAGATGTTATGATACTATAACTAATACATATAACGATTATAGACCATCTATGATGCTTATTTCTGTTTAATCATGACAGCATAATATGATAACATCATTACACGCTAACACAAGATTTCGATGTGACTAACTACAAAGGACAACATGAACACTTACCCACAGTTCATGTCATCGTTTGCCATTTGGATTTGAGCTTCGCAAGCTTAACTGTAAACTGAACGTAGATCCAATCGCTGGCCTTGTCGATCCATCGGAAGAAAGCGAATCTGATGACCTGCTTCGTGATGAGCGTGCCAGTAAACAGCCAAAAGCCAGCCACAAATCCGACCACAATACTGGTGTACTCCAATAATTTGTCGAGCTTCTCATCATCTTTAACTCTGGCGTCAGGTGGAATTCGATAAACAGGGCAATCTGGCAGTGGCGTACCGCAAAGGTCTTTGTTACCCACATTTGTCCATGAGTCAAAGGTTGACAGTTGACCACTAGTGGGTATTTTTCCTGATAAGTTGTTGTAAGACAGATTCAAACGGGCCAGGAAATTCATAGCAGAAAAGCTCGAAGGTATCACCCCTGTGAGACTGTTCACTGATAAGTCAAGCGATTCCAATAGTGTCATGTCACCCATCTTTTCTGGAATCCTTCCCGTCAAATGATTCTCGGATAAGTTTAGGAAGCGCAATCCGAGAAGCTTTGTCAGTTCTTTTGGGATTTCACCAGAGAGATGATTATTTGACAAGTCTATGCATGTCACCAGCCAGAGAATGGTTGTGTACTCAACCATTGATCCCTTTGTTGTGACTAAGATGCTCTCGATGTAAGAATAGTAATCTTCAATCAATGACCTCGTGTCATTTTGTACCTCAACCATGGCAGTGAAATTTCCTAGAGATGATGGTAGGCTACCAAAGAACTTGTTGGAAGAAAGATCCAAAACCTGAAGAGAAGTGAGATCCACTATGTTCTCAGGGATAGTACCATATAATAAGTTTGACCTCAGACGAAGAACCTTCATGGTTTCTTCCTATCCATTTCGGAATTTTATCAAATAATTTATTTTCACCTAAATCAAGGATAATTAATTGGTCACAGTATTTCAAAAATGAAGGAATCCTTCTAGATAAATTGTTATTATTTAAATGTAAAGATCGTAGAGAGATCGGAAATGAATTATGACAATCGGGGACTTCTCCAATTAAGTGATTGTTAGATAGGTCTAGAACTCCAAGTGAATCCATATGACAAAAGAAGAAAGGAAAATCACCGTTGATATGATTATGAGACAAAAATAACAAAATGAGTCTCGTAGCTTTTTTCAAGCTCAATGGAATAGGTCCAACAAATAAGTTGTTGGATAGATTCAATATGAATTGGGGAGCAGAAGGTAATTGACCAATCAAATAGTTGGAGCTCAAGTTAATAATTTTCAAACCTTTTGAGAAATTTGAAAACCAAATAGGGAGGCTGCCTGAGACTCAAGTCGGATGCAAACCTATGTGAAGGAGACATAAATCTGATGCTATCGAGAGTTGATTGATTAATACGAGAGATTTGGGTGTTGGGGATTTAGGTGTGAACAATTTAACTGTTAAATAATAATCAACTCACGATAAAGATGTGAGAGTTAGAACAATAACCAAAGTTCACCGATCAACTTTCTCTACTTTACAACTGTTGCAATGAGATTAAGCGATGGACCGACGACAAAGATCGATGAAAAAATGTTTTGTCGAAGAACTTTTGTTCGATTTGGGCTCATTGGTCAGACTAGTCATAGCCTAAGGCATCCAAAGTGGATAATAAAGTTAAGTTTCTCTTTAACTCACGAATGTGCTATACCTTTACCAAGGATCTTATAATCATGTCGTGTCTTGATTTTAACTTGTCCTGTTTGGATGATCTAACACGATGAGTTCTTCCCATAAGCGCATCTTTTTCTTCTTGGGTGAGTTCATAAGTGGAGAACTAACATCCATGTTGTATCATATGAAAGGAACATATGGAGTCCAAAAGCCACCCATCCTGTGGCCTGGTGGCATATGGAGGCCATAAGTACCTCAATCTCAATCTCTTTGTTTATGCATGAGGCTTTAGCATTTTGATTGTTGCATTTTATTTTAAGCTCAACAGTCTGCTTTGATGTGGCCCTTCCTTTTGCAATAATACTTACTTTGATCTAGATTTGGCTATAGATTTATTTCTGTCTCCTTTCCTAAACTCTACATCTCTCCATGAAGTTTAAAGCTTCAGCATGACTTTTGGAGGTTTCCATTGTCAACTAGAAGTCTATAAAAGAGATGGTATTCTTTTGACACTAGGGTTAAAATCATAATATCTAGAGAAATGGTATTCTTTCAATATAAAATTATTTTCAAAAAGTTTTTATATAAAAATAATAATAACATGGCTTTGTCTTCTTCGTCGATGACAACATTCATATTCTCAAGATCCATGAATTTTAGTTTGAAAGACACTAATGTATTGATTCACTAAGGTTCCTTTTGTCATTCGGTACAACATATACTTGAGGGTCATTTTTCTTGTAAGGGTCTTCTACTAATATGCTTTGTGTCTCAAACTTTTACTGTTGTTTGTTTTATGGCAATATCGTAAAGTGCTTCATTGGATATGCACATAAATAAAATTGTCATAACACTTTGATCAAATTCTACTTTTTCTCATTCATGTTTGTTATTTTTTCTTTCCCGAAGATAGTGTAATGATGTTTCTCCTTTATTCAGATAGTCTTCATCTTTATCGTTTATAGAGAGTAGTTGATGTTTCGATCCACTTTTTTGATCTTGTTTCTTATGTCTATCGATGAAGCCCGGTAACTTGATAATCTAGTAAAAAGGCTCAAATACCATATATTGAAAGGATTAATAGGAGTGTTGCAACATTCACTTTCTTTATAAAAAAATCTAAAATTTACCATATAAACCAAAATTACAAAATTACCTCTGTTCATCAATGTTGACCAGGGTTGACCAGTCAAATTCCTCTTCTTCCTCTTCTCCTCTCTTCCTCAATGGTGCTGCAATGAGCACAGTGACTGGCCGGCGACGGAGATCGGCGACTGGACTTCTCGCCGGAGAAGAACATTGGTCGGATTTGGGCTCCTTACTCACTTCTCCTCTCTTCCTCTCTCTCGTTGTTCTCTCCTTCGCTTCCCTCGCTGTTGTTCCCCAAAGCTCTATTTATAGGAGCAAGGGAAGGTGGAGGGCTCGCCGCCTGCGAGCGGAGAGGTGCGACTGCGGCTGCGTTGGACGACTTCGGCGACTGTGGCTGGGGGGGGCCGGTGCGGGCACACGGGGAGGCGTCGATGAAGACAGCGGGCTGCGGCCGCGGGGAGGACTGCGAGCGTGAAACGCCCCCGCGTGCGGCGGTGCACTGTGTGAACGCAGGCGATGGGAACGGCTGCGGCGAGGAACGCAGGTGGGGCCGGTGAGAAGTTGACTTCGGTCAACATCCCGAGTCGATTCGATTCGAGCCCGAATCCGACCCAATTTTGAGTCCGTTCCCAAACTTATTTTGTGGCAGTCAAGGAAAAATATTCCACATAATCATTTTTTGCTGTGGTCAGTAAATATGTTGAAGCAATTAACGTTGGTTGACCAAAACCACTCAAGCAGGAATTCTGATTACCAAAGAAAATATTTCTTGAGATGGTTATCCAATTTTCAATCTTTTAGCACCCGATTGATAGGCATAAGAAGTTTATACTCTCATCAAATGTTTTGGACAAGTTTCCTTGGTTGGACACAAATTTATTTTGAAAAAAATAACCATGTTTCGGGTAAAAAAGAATTCCTAAAAAATTAAGAATAATTTAAAGAAAGAGTCGCATGGTCAAATTACCTAATATCATTGGTATCTATAAGTTATTGTATGATATGTTCAAAATTTTCGAGTGATAGAGTCTACCAATTGTCTCTTGTATTCGTCTAAGTTGTATAACTTAAGATCTTGAAATGTAATGGTTTCTAGTATACGTCAAGAAATATCATTTTGAAGTAAGATTAATATATTGAGATGGATGAGAGAACCCAAAGTATGTGGAATACTTCCGACGATATTGTTGGATGATAAATCTAAGTATTCTAAGTTGATGAGGTTCCCCGGTGGTGGTAATTGTCCGGTAATAAAGTTACTTGATATATCTAAATGAACCAAATTATTGGAATTTCTCCACTGAGAAAGCTTGGTCACAGAGAGATTGAAGTAGCATATAAAGAGAAAGCTTGGTTTGATTAATTCTTTTGATTAATCCAGAATCATTCTTTTGATTAATCCATTTGGTTCATCAAACTAAGGCATGATTTGAATAGTTGAGAGTTTGAGAGATTGAAGAGATCTGACAACAGAACAGCAACTTCCAAGGCCATAGAAAACACTTTGAATGGTTAAATCCATTATGAAAGCATGAGCAAGTCTTCCCCTGATTGAGATATATTGAACATAATCACACTTTGTTCTCAGCTGGAATCCCCTGAAGCACTCACTGAAATCAATTTCATGTATATGTAGGATGGAGTTATGATGCTTCCACTGGAGCAATTCTCAATTCATAGTAATATGTTGCGTATGTTATGACAACTCATTTGCCCTCCTGTGGACCATTGGTTTGTTTCTGGAAAAGAAGCAATAAGTGATGCAGTAAATTAAGTTTCACTACACTAAAAAGCAGCAGCAAGTTGCCAATAGATTTAAGACTCTAAAGAGACTACAACAATTACAAGAAACATAAATACATCATAACATGAAGAGGATGACATGAGCTTGAGATGCTTGGTGATTCTTCAAGTCATTCTTCGCCATTTGCACTTCGGTTCCTTAAGCTTTACTGCCACCTGCACATAGATCCAATCACAAGTCCTGCCGATCAACTGGAACAGAGCAATCCTGATGCCATGTCTCAGATGTTATATTTAAACAACAACCTTATTTCTGGACAACACCAAATGGTCATTCATGAAATAAAACACTAGAACATAAATACATGAAGTCTACATAGACAGTCTTAGCACTTAGCCACAGTTCAATTGATTCTTCGTCATTATTTTGGGCTTCAGCTTTCAGCTGCACATATCTGCATGCAGCCATAGATGTTGTCATTTTGTTGGAAGAGAGTAATCCTTGAGCCTTGCTTCACGATCACTACGCCGATAGAAACCCCAGAAACAACTATTAATCCCACGACAACGCTAGTAACATCTAATATTATTGTTTCAAGCATATCTCCATTGTCATCTTCTTCTAGTTTGACTCCTGCATCAGCTGAACTGGTGGCAATCTGCTTTTTATTATAAACCCCAAAATAGCAGCAAATCGGGAAGTTATATAAAGCATTCTGGTAACACCTAAATCAAAGTTCTGCCAGTCCTGCAAAATATGATTTCCAGGAAAAAGGAACAAAAAATATATATATATGCTCTCATGTTATGAATATTGAAACAAACGCATATAACATAAAATGTTGATTAACGAAAAAAACTCAATCAAGAAACATAAAATATCTCTCTTAAGACAATTATATATTCAAAAGGTCTCAAGATTTAGCACCCAAATGATAGGAATAAGCAGTCTAGAGTGGGATTGCTATGAATTTATAAAACTTATTTATTAATAATAATTCACTTTTAGAAAAAAATAATTCGTTGGACGTGGATTTTATTTTTGCAGAAAAAAAATATGTACTTTGGTAGAAAATGAAGAGTGAGTCTCATACCATATGAATGTGGAGAAGAATCAAATTATACAGTCTCTTCTCAGAAAAAAAAGATTCGCCACTCGAATAAGACATTGATTTCAGCCAAACGCTAAGAGCATGTCCACAATAATGGTTACAATTTTATTGTCTAATTGTCTCTCCATACTGTGATTGTCATTATCTTTATCTAATTTGAGCATAATAACAAAGTTGAATTTTTTTTTCTATCGTAAGGACACTAACAGAAGAACACAATCTTCCCTCTCAAACATCGATTAAATATAGGTAGATTAACTATTTCGTTAGCAAACAGAGTATGTATGACATACACTCTTGCAATTAATCTTTTTAGTTGTCAGATATGTATGTATCAATCCATAAGCGAAGGCCTTGCGATAGCAAAGTGATGATAGATGGAGATGTTATGATACTAGAACTAATGCATGTAATGTATACAGGGAATCCATGATGCTTATTTCAGCTTAATCATGACAGCATAATATGATAACATCATTACATGCTAACGCAAGATTTCGATGCGACTAACTACAAAGGAAAACATGACACACTTTAGCACTTACCGGCAGTTCATGTCGTTGTTTGCCATTTGGATTTGAGCTTCGCAAGCTTAACTGCAAACTGAACATAGATCCAGTCAATGGTCTTGTCGATCCGTCGGAAGAAAGCGAATCTGATGGCCTGCTTCATGATGAGAGTGCCAATAAACAGCCAGAAGCCAACCACAAATCCAACCACAATACTGGTGTACTCCAATAATTTGTCGAGCTTCTCATCATCTTTAACTCTGGCATCGGGTGGAGTTTGATAAACAGGGCAAGCTGGCAGTGGCATACCGCAAAGGCCTTTATTACCCACATATGTCGAAGGGTCAAAGGTCGACAATTGACCACTCGTGGGTATTTTTCCTGATAAGTTGTTGTAAGACAGATTCAAACGTTCCAGGAAATGCATAGCAGAAAAGCTCGAAGGTATCTCCCCTATCAGACTGTTCACAGATAAGTCAAGCGATTCCAATGTTTTCATGTCACCAATGTTTTCTGGAATCCTCCTCGTCAAATGATTGTTGGATAAGTTTAGGAAGCGCAGTCCGAGAAGCTTTGTCAGGTCTTTCGGGATTTCACCAGAGAGCTGATTATTTGACAAGTCTATGAATGTCACGAGCGAGAGAATGGTTGTGTAATCAGCAATTTCCCCTTTTGTAGTTAGCAAGATGCTCTCGCTATAAGAACAGTGTTCTTCAACTATTAATTCCTTTGTTGTGAATAAGATGCTCTCGATGTAAGAATAGTAATCTTCAATCAATGACCTCGTGTCATTTTGTACCTCAACCATGGCAGTGAAATTTCCTAGAGATGATGGTAGGCTACCAAATAAATTGTTGGAAGAAAGATCCAAAACCTGAAGAGAAGTGAGATTCACTATGTTCTCAGGGATAACACGATTTAATAAGTTTGACCTCAGACTAAGAACCTTCAATGACGAGAGGTTTCTTCCTATCCATTTCGGAATTTTACCAAATAATTTATTTTCACCTAAATCAAGGTTAATTAATTGGTTACAGTATTTCAAAAATGAAGGAATCCTTCCAGATAAATTGTTATTATTTAAATGTAAAGATCGTAGAGAGATTGGAAATGAATTATGACAATCGGGGACTTTTCCAATTAAGTGATTGTTAGATAGGTCGAGAATCATAAGGAAATTCAGATTACAAAAGAAGGGAGGAAAATCACCATTCATATGATTATGAGACAAAGATAAAAAAAGGAGGTACGTAGCTTCTTCGAAGCTCAATGGAATAGGTCCAACAAATGAGTTGTTGGAAAGATCCAATATCAATATCAATTGGGGAGGAGAAGGTAATTGACCAGTCAAATAGTTGGAGCTCAAGTAAAGAATTTTCAAACCTTTTGAGAAATTTGAAAACCAAATAGGGAGGCTGCCTGAGACTCCAACTCCAGATAGATAAAGACTTTGCAATTGTTGTTGAGTCCGAATCCAAGCAGGAAATTTTCCTCGTAGATGACAAAAGCTCATATCGATAATGGAGGCATTAAAAGGGGGCCGCCAATCATTCGGTAGCATCACATTCAAGGAGTTGGAAGCGATTATCAATTTTGATAAGCTCGTAAGATTTAAAAAGTGTGCTTCGGTAATGTTGCCAGCCAGCGAGTTTGAGGAGAGGTCTACCTCTTGTAGCCGAGATAATTGGCCCATGCTCGAAGGAATAATCCCACTCAAATTGTTACCCTTCAGGACTAAGGATGATAAAAATGCTCCTTGTGAACAAGTAGACAAACCATAGAATAGATTTGTAAGGTCTCCACCAATGTTATTGTGAGACAAATCTAACACGGTCAAATTGCATAGGTCACCCAACGTAGTTGGTATCTGACCTGATAAGTTGTTATATGACATGTCCAAGTTTTGCAAGTAGTGGAGTTTACCGATCTTCTTTGGTATCTGCCCAAAAATATGGTTATTGCTTAAAAATAATATCCGTAGATTTTGAAGATCCCCAATGGTTTCTGGTATTTGTCCAGAAATACGATTGTTAAACAAATATAATTCCTCCATATGGATGAGAGTACCCAAAGTCTCTGGAATGTATCCGCTAATATTATTCATTGATAAATCTAAGTGTACCAAGTTGGTGAGGTTGACGATGCTCGGTGGTATCCAACCGACAATATTATTCCTCGATAAATCTAAGTATACCAAGTTGGTGAGGTTGCCGATGCTCGGTGGTATCCATCCCACAATTTTGTTGCCTGATAAATGTAATTCCAATAGGTTACTGAGGTTGCCGATGCTCGGTGGTATCCATCCCACAATTTTGTTGCCTGATAAATGTAATTCCAATAGGTTACTGAGGTTCCCCATGCTCTGTGGTATTTTTCCAATGATGCCATTATAGGACAAATATAGGTACTCCAATCGGACAGCATCTCCCACGGTCGGTGGAATTTCTCCGCTGATCAAATTGTACCCCAAGTCTAAATGTCGCAAGTTTGTGAGATTCCCCAGAGAAGCTAAGATATGCACGTCGACAATTAAATTCGTTGATAAGTCTAGGTACTCCAGGTCTCTAAGGCTCCCTCGAGGAATATCTCCAGATAATTGATTCCATCTCAAATCCAAGTGCTTCAGGCCACTGCTACTGACATTGTTCAGAATTTCAAGAATTTCTCCTTTAAGGGAGTTGAATGACAAATCCAATTCCTTCAGATTAAGGAGAGCTCCTAGAGCAACTTGTACCGACTCGATAGTGAGACTCCCACAGCCAGAAAGAAGGAGGTTCTCGAGGCTGGTGGCGTTAGAAAGCCATCTTAGCATGGCAGACGTGATGTTAGAATTCAAAGACAGATCCAACGTAGCAATGTCTGTCAGATTAAAAGGGGGCAAAGGAGATGGAACATATGGCAGGTCTACATAAATCAAATGTAGCACTTCAAGTGTGGGGATTGAATTAATTATGTAGAACCAATTGGTTGCTTTGGAGAGGTTGACATAACTCATGTCAAGATATTTTAGAGAAGGAATACGGGAGAGCCAATCGAGATCATCAACATGTAGAAAATCATCATAATACCATCCCTGAAGGTCGAGATAGTGTAGGTTTGAGAGGTTCCCCAGCTGAGGAGGAATCAGTCCATCGAACATGGCATTAGATAGGTTGAGATATTCCAAGTGGACCAGTGAAGCGATCATTGTGGGCACAGGGGCGTGGGAGAAGTTATTCATGCTCAAATCCAAATACTTCAAGTACTTCAGTTCTTGCAAAGATGGATTTACCTTGCTCACGCCTATTGTTTCCCCATCGTTAAACATATCCCACAATTCGTATGTGTAGGGGTAGCGGAGGTCGAGCTTGGTGACATGGCCGGTGGTGTTGTCGCAGGCCACACCTCTCCACCCACAGCAGTCTTTGCCGGTCCAAGTAGAGAACCAGTTGTCGGGGTCGTACATCTCGGATTTGATGGCGAGGAGAGCTCTCCTCTCACTCTCGATGCAACTGCTGCTGATTCCCTCCACCTCGACATGATCGTCATCGCCGAAGCCATAGCCGGGACAGCAGGAGACGAGAAGTAAGGCCACGAGCATCATGAGACGCTTCGAGGCAATACGTCCGTCCTGGAAACTGCCGCTACCAGCTGCAGCCATTGATGGAACGCTCGAGAGAGAAGAAATGTGAAGGTATGAGGTTGGAGAGGATGTTTCTGTGGGTATGTATAGGCACATCACCACCGGAAATCCCCATGACTTGTGCGCACATTATCCGTAGAATTGATGCAGTGGCTAATACGCAGTCATGGTCATGCATACTCGTACTTTAGTGTGGCTAATACGCAGTTAGAAGTCAAAGGAAACTTAATTCTGATGTGAGGGTTCCATCCAGCGTTGATTTACTAGCGTTGATTTACGCAGTCAACACAAACTTACTTCTATCTTTCGATTGAGCAGGCAAATATGATATACATGTTGATTTCATTCTTCTTTTCTTTTTTTAAGGTGATTCTAGAGGTTTCTTAAGTGATATAATTCCTATGTTGATCTGCCATCGAATATAACATGGTACATGTATGAGTATAATGACTTAAAGATTATTCAACTCAATTTTAATATAGAAGATAAATACAACATGAAATCCTAATTTCATAGGGTTTTCTATTTTTAGATGATTTTATAGATTTTGATTTTTTGAATCGAACTCGGATAGATTCACACCGTAAAACTATGTATAAATCTCTAAAATAAAGAATGCTCTTTAATAAATTATCGAAAAATAATTTTATATAAAACATAAAAGGATGTAAATGTTTGTGTTTCCTTGACGTGCAAGTCAAGGAGACTTTCGGGGTTGGAAAACATGGATATATCTCATGACGTAATGAATGGTTTGATATAGATGGATGCCTTTCAACACCTAAATTTTCATCTATCTTCCATGTGATGTGAGGTGGAGGTAAGTCATTTGTTCTCATTGAAGCTTCTCTCATGTGGTTGAGACGCAAGTCAAAAGCTCGCATCTTATCATGTTGCTCGAGTGCAAGTCAACGTGATTGAGACACATATCAGTCTCTTGGAGACTTCGATGCATACCATGGTTAAAATATAAGATGTGAGGGTTGATTGATTAATATGTGAGACTTGGGTGTTTGAGAAATGTTGGAGATTTAGATATGAAGAATTTAATCGTGAAATAAAAAAATTAACTCATGGTAAAGATGTAAGAGTTGAATGATTCATTAACGTCGAAGATTTTATTGACTAGTCAATCGGAATCACATTTGCTCAATTATTATAAATGAAGTTCTAATTTATTCACTAATAATGTAGTTTGGATATTTCTAATGACGTGATGAATGGTTTGATATGGACAGAGTGGAATATTGGAAGCGATGACTCTTCCAATGATAGGTCACGATGCCTTGATTTCATCTTTTTATCTTCCATGTGGTGTGAGGTCGGAAGGAAGTCATCCATACTCATCGAATTGTTGAGACGCAAGTCAAAGTCTTGCATCTTATCATGTTGCTCTGGTGCAAATTAATGTGAACGAGACACATCTGTCTCTTGGAAACTCTGATGTCAATGAGAGTTATTGATTAACACGTGAGAGTTGAGTATTTGATGAATGTTGGAGATTTAGATGCCAAGAGCTTAACTGCAAAACAACAATCAAGTCATGATAAAGATTAGCCTCGGAGATTTTGTCGACTGGTCAAGAGGAGTCACAGTTGCTCAATTACTGTAGAAGAGTGGTAGGGACTTTAACGTGCCACTTTTCAAGTGTTGATGTCAATTTTGATTCATCTATCACCTTTTCAGTCAATGAGTCATGAAACTAAGTGTCTAGGCATATCCAACAAAAGCCCTCTTAACTATTGAGTTAGAATGTGGTATGTAACTTGAGGAGTATTAATGATCGTAGCAATGAGTCTTCAATGTTCATACCTAAAGCCTTTCATAGGTAAAACATGTAACGACTATCTCCATTTACTATAACATTATCTATTATCTTAACATAAAGTTTTACTAAAACATTATCTATTACCCAAACATAAAGTATCGTCTGAACCATCAAGCATTAATGTCAATATTATATGTTGATTATGCATCATTACATATGTAAAATTATTTTCATTTGTTTTTCTATTTTTAATATGATTTTAGATATTTTTAAATCAAATTTGGATAGGTTCATACTCAAACCCTATAAAACAACGTAACAATCTTTAAAATAAAGAGCACACTTTTTCTCTTTTTGTCTAAAAGGAAGTTCCCAAGTGAAATAAAAAAAAGAATGCTCTTAGGTAAAAAAACTAATTATGATTGATTTTTTTGAGTAAATTATCTAAAAATATTTTCATATAAAAGAAAAAAAAAATGTAATTGTTGATGTTCCCGACGTGCACGTCAAGAAGATTTTCGATGTTGAAAAAAAAAGGTATGGATATTTCTCATGACACCATGAATGGTTGGAAGATGTGAATTAGCAACGAAAGTTAATTCGACCTTCTCTTCCATATGGTGTGAGGTTGGAAAAAAGTTATCTATGAGTATATAAGATCTGAACACTAATCCAAGCTTCTATCATGTGGCTGAGAAAGTTTTGCATTCTACTTGGATGTAAGTCACTATGAATAAGGCACATATTTGTCTCTTAGAGACTGATGTATTCCATGGTTAAAAAAATAAGATATGAGACATGATTGGTTAGTATGTGAGACTCCGATGTTCAATGATTGTTGGGGATTTAGCTTTCACGGTACTTAACGTTTTGATCTAATTTTTTGATCTCATATCCCATGCTCGCTTAACAACCTAATAATCTTTGATTAATAGGTTATATAGCCATGAGATATAAATCGAATGGATAAAAAATCGAATGACAGAGGACAAACTAAAAATAAACGATTTAACATAGCTCATATTATAACATAAACGTCGTTGTTATGTCCACAAGAAAAAAAAAATTAAAATAAAAAAATAAACCGTAGGAGGGTTTAATAACACCATCACGACTTCCTTTGTAAAAAATAAAAAAAATTGCCCTAAAACAAAATTACAAAATTACCCCTGTCAATCAAAGTTGACTAGGGTTGACCAGTCAACTTCCTCTTCTTCCTCCTCCGCATGTGCTGCTGCAATGAGCACGGTGACCAGCCGGCGACGGAGATCGGTGAACGGACTTCACACCGGAGAAGAACTTGGTTGGATTTGGGCTCCTTCCTCACTTCACCTCGCTTCTTCTCTCCTTCGCTTCCCTCGCCGTTGGCATAAGAAGTTTATACTCATAAAAAAATTTTGGACAAGTTTGCTTGGTTGAACACAAATTTTAATTTTTAAAAATAATTAATTTTATTATAAAAAGAATTCCTAAAAAAATAAGAATAAATTATAGAAAGAGTCCAAAATTATATAATCTCATCTAAAAAAAAAGAGAGAAAAAAAAAAGTGACTTACACTTGAATGAGTGATGGGCTACCAAATATCAAGAGCATATATGTCCACAATAATGGTCACAATTATATTTTGTGATCATACTATGTGTATCTTTATCTAATTGAGCATTTCTTATTTTCTAAGAAAAATAACTGGAAACAAAACAATCTCAACAAATGCCAACTATATTTACTATCTCATTAGCAATATGTGAGAGTTGGGTGTTTATGAATGTTGGAGATTTAGATGCGAAGAGCTTTAACTTTGAAACAACAAGAAACCTTCATGACTTGTGCGCACACCGCGTGTGGAATCGATCATGTGGCTAAGATGCACTTAATCAAAGTCAAGGGCACTTAATTGTGATGTGAGGGTTGGAGGATGATTCATATAAGGCGGCCCTAATTTCCATCATTGACCAGTTCATTTGCGAGCGCAACAATTGAGACTCGTCAAACTTACCTCGATATTTTAATAGAGTAAACAAATATGATATATACACTGATTTTATTATATGTTTCTATTGTAAAGTGACTTTTGTAGTTTGTGAAGTCAAATATGATACATTTTTAGGTTGATTTTGCAATCGAGTGTAACATAATTTATTTATGAGTATAAGGCTATAAAATTTAGTCCACTCGCCTCAATCTTTACAAATATAACATTAAGTAGTATTTTCATTAATTTTTCTATTTTTAGATTATTTTAGATATTTTTAAAATCAAATTTGGATAGGTTTATGCTCAAATCCTATAAAACTACGTAACAATCTTTAAAATACAGAGTATATTTTTCCTTTTATTGTCTTAAGGATGCTCCCAATAAACTATGAAAAAAGAATGCTCTTGGTAAAAAGTTAATTATGACTTATTTTCTTAGTAAATTATCTAAAAATTCTTTCATATAAAAGAAAAAAAAAAGTAAATGTTGATGTTCGGTGTTGAAAAGCATGGATATTGAATGACTGGATATAGGATGGAAGAGGTGAATTACCACGAAAGATTTTCACACCTTTGATTTCCACCTTTTATGTGGCGTGAGGTTGGAAAGAAGTTGTGTATGAGTGTGTAAGGGGTCTGAACACTCATCCAAGCTTCTATCATGTGGCCAAGAAAGTCTTAAATTTTGCTCGGTGCAAGTCAATTTGAATGAGACACATATGTCTCTTGGAGACTCTGATGAATTGACTGATTAATATATGAGACTTGGGCGTTTGATGAATATTGAAGATTTAGAAATGAAGAGTTTAATCGTGAAAGAAAAAATCAACTCATGTAATAGTTGAATGATTTATTAATGTTTGAATTTTATTGACCAATAGGAGTCACATTTGTTTGATTATCATAAATGGAATTCCAATTTGTTCATTAGTAATATGGTGTGGATATATTTTTTTCTTCGATGACAAGAGTACATGCCACTTCCTAAGTGTCGACATCAATTTTGATTGTATGTTATGTTTATCAATCTTATAGAGCTATCCTCCTTTCGGATAACCAATGTCACAAGTTTAGTATGATGATAAAATAACTCAATTAAATGATCTCTATCAATTCTCGAGATATACTCGAGAATGCGTCTTAAATATATACGTTAGATAGTATGCAACTTAAGGAGTAATACCCTTAGAATTTATCAACCAATGCGAATTATAAAACTAAGCCGAGGATATATTCGACAAGAACCCTTCAACTCTTAAAGATAGAGCTTATCAA